GGTATGCATGGATTCGGAACCTTTGGCCATGTGAGTGTATAATCTATCTCTCGGGTACTCGGGTATAGCCTCATCGCATGCACTCTCTCACGGCTACACCAATTCTCTATCTCCTACTCATGGCTCTCTCAATGGGCGTACATTGGGAATACTGTACCCATAATCACGGGTTCCCCATCGCATAACCTACCTATGCTCTTGTCTCTCTCTATTCTTCTCATGTTTGCTCATCTCTTTCTCAAGCTAGTACTCATAATATAGCTTAACTCTTAGCTTTTCTCATCCTGTTCTTTCTATTTCTGTTCTTTCTCATTCTTACTCATTGGAATGTCACGACTCATTGACCGGAGGCACGGCTGGGCGCTACCACTCTACGTGACTTCCATTCATTTCGCTACCGATCGGATTTAGTCATGAGGATTCGGAACCTTTGGCCATGTGAGTGTACAATCTCTCTCTCTCGAATGTCACGGCCCCATCTTATCAGAGGCACGGCTGGAAACTCGTGTTCCACTCTGAGTGATGGTCACGGCCCATCTGACCGGAGGCACGGCTGGAACCTCGTGTTCCACTCTGCGTGATCTACTCGTCACTCAAGGTTCCCCATCGCACAACTTACTCTATTCTTTCTTTAACTCGTGCCAAGATCTCTACTCTTTCTCTAGCTACTCATCATAATGTAGCTTAACTCTTAGAGTAATTCTCTACTCTTTCTCTAATTTTCTTTAAATCAGAGTTTCTCATTCTCTTTACTCTTAAGAGTTGCTATTCTCAACATTCTTACTTTTTCTATCACAACTATTACTCATAGATAGCTTATAATCAAAATTCTCTACTCTTAAGCTAGTACTCATAAGGTAGCTCATACTCAACATTCTATATTCTTTCTCAAGCTACTTCTCAATGCACAATTAATGCATATGGATGGTCATCTCATTAATGCACTTTTGAAATGCCAAATGCAAGTTTCCTCAAAACAGTCATTCTGCACAAGTCACACTAAAAAGACCATAAACTGCGTTATACACCTCGGGTGCTACGGTTTTGGTTCGTTTTAAATTTAGAAACAGGGCTATAACTTCTATGTTTTGGTCTCAGCCCAGTTCAGTCCGTAAGATGTCCAAAAATTACTTAGAAAGTCACGGCAGTGACAGGACAGATTTCACTTAGGCATTTCATCAAACAACATGTGCATACAAAAACTTTCTCTAACTAAACTCTCCTTCTCTTTTTAACCATCCAAAAATGGGAGGAAACCCCTTCTATGGGCATGGTTCCTATCATAGAAGAACACTCCCAAAGATTCTACTCAATCTCCTCAACTTCATCTCAAACTATTACTCATAAACATTCCCATAAAGGAAATACCAACAAACATAACATAAATACTGTTCTCAACTCAATTTCAACAAATAGACATACATCTCTACTCAATTTTCTCAACAAGCATCATATATACATGCACAAATAAATCTCTACTTAAGAATTTCTTAACTTTAGCTTGAGTTGGATTTACTTACCTCATACTTGAGTAGTCTCCACTAAAGCTCTCTACTCTTGTGGATCTTAGCTTTTCCTTATTTCCTAAGCATAACTTAGTAAGAATTTAACCCTTCAAATAAAAACTCATCTCTAGAGTAGGGATTCTTTCTTGCTTAGGATCACTTCTTTGTCAAATTCCAACTCAAAACTCTCAAAAATCCCTTAGAAAATTGAGTGAGAAATTGAGAGAAAATGGGAGATGAAGAGGCGGTGGAAATGGGTAAAATGAATGGGTTTGAGAACTCAACCTATTAGCCATATAATATCCACTCTTTCCCATTTTGCCCTATATTCTTGAAATTCCCTTATCCTTTAATTCTTAAAACTACACCCCATTTACACTATTCTCCATGAATTTCCTTGCATTCTACTCCCCACTTTTCTGTAATTAGGGGTAGAATGGTCATTGTGCCCCAAAAGAAGAACTCTTAAAAAACTCAAGAAACTTTTCTGCCGTCTCGTCGCCACGGCGAAGAACTTCCTGTCGCCCGGCGCGAACATTCAGAACCAACACCGCAACACAGAACCAATGTCGCCGCAGCGAAGTCTCCCTCGCCCCGGTGAAGACTAAAACTCCAAAATTTGCTAAGTCTTGATCAATTCCAGGGTACACACTCAAACAAACCAAAACATAAAATCAATCAAAGACCAACCAAACAACATGAACAAATATAAACTCATTTAGGGGAATTCAGTAATCCTTTAGGCCATACCGTAAACAGTGGCTACGTATTTCAGTGGGGTGTTACAATTTTTTATACAAACTATGTATAAAAATTGATGTACACAACTATATGGAGAGTGAAATACACAAGATAACTCAATTAATAAGTAGCACTTTAATCTACTTTCTACTCGTATTCTCATAAAATATGCATAGTAAAATACATGTAAAATAGTATAAAAAAAGTTGGGCACATTTTTCTTTTATTAAATATATACACTTTCTACAAAAAGTTATATCATGACAAAAGCACAAAACAAGGTGGACAGTGTAGCCATTTCTTCTTGCTGACGTACATCCGACCATGTCCTCACCTAGATCCTGCAAAACATGGAAGACAGGGGTGAGCACAACTAAGTGTCAGTAAATAATCCTCTACCCATCTATCCCCGTAACTCTTTCTCTAATTTCTTCCTTACAATTCTCATTACTCTTTTGCTTTCTCTATCGGTTTCTCTCTTATGTTTCTCTTCTTTTCTATTAACCCCTCTCTTTAGAAGTCACGGCCATCTAACGGAGGCACCGCTGGGACCCACTCCCACTCTCCGGACTTTTACTCATTCTAGCCGATCGGACTGGTTATGCATGGATTCGGAACCCTTGGCCATGTGAGTACATAATCTTTCTCTCGGGTAAACTCGGGTATAGCCCTCATTCGCATGCACTCTACGGGCTCACCACTTCTCTCTTATACTCATGTCGCTTCTAATGCGACGTACATGCGGGAATACTCTACCTATTACTCACGGGTTCCCCATCGCACAACCTACTCTATTCTCTTGTCTAGCACTACTTTCTCTTTATTTCTAGTACTCATTCTCTCATTCTCTCTACTTAGAGTAGTTTAAACTAAATTCTCTACTCACTTTTTCTAATGCATAATTAATGCATGATTAATGATATAGATGACTATTGCTATTAATGCACTTATGAGATGCAATTATGCTATGTAGCAAAATTAAGGCTTTCTACTCTTACTCATGCTTCTCTTGAACATTCATCATACAACTCAAGTGAGATAGAGCTCTATTTAAACTATAACTTTTCTCTTTTCTTTAATCATCCAAAATGGAGAAAGGCTCCCTTATACTCTCTAATTTCCCTATCAAAGGAAAACACTTCTATAAATGCTCAAAACTTCATCCACTTCAATCAAACTCAACCCAAATCAAGTAATCTCAACACTTCGTATATAAGTATATGCAACACAAGTATAACTAACATCCATCTCATCTCAATTTTCAACAACATACTTACACATACATAAATCTATACTCAAAAGATTTTGAATCTAACATTGGTTGGATACTTACTTTGTGAGGATAGCTTCTTAATACTTCTACATTCCCTTGGTAGCTTGATTTCTCTCTACAACTTAAATAACAAACCAAACATAAGACTTTAATCAACATCATAAAACTCTCATCTAAAGTAAGAATCCTTACCTTAGGATGCTTTAGACTAAAACTCTACTAAAAACTACTCAAAAAGTCCTTATAAATCCTTGGAAGATTGAAGGAAATTTGAGAAGAAGTAGAGAATGGAAGAGGCGGTGGAAAATGGATGAAATGAAGGGTTCTCTACACTTAACCCTTTTTAGCTCAACTTATACACAAGCATTCCCATTTTGCCCTTACTCTTTCTTAGAAATTCCATCCATATCCTTTGATTCCTTACAACCACACCCCTATACAACCATGTTTTCCATGAAATTTCCTTACATTTTACTCCTCACTTTTCCTGCTAATTAGGGGTAGAATGGTCAAATTGCCCTTAAGGAAAAATATCTAAAACTTAACAAAACTTTTCAGCTGACCCGTCGCCGCGGCAAAACACTCCAGTAGCGACTCCGTGGGCTGCGGCACCTCTTCGCCGCAGCGAAGATTCTTCTTCGCCTCGGCGAGGCCTGTAACACAACATTTCGCTAAGTCTTCATAATTTTCAGGGCAAACACTCAACCAACTCAACATACAAACTGAATTAATACACATGTAAGCAATACAGCAAATCTTGAGTACGTACCTCAAGTGGGGCGTTACAAATACCACTTAAAGTAAAAGAACAATTAAAAAATCATGTTTAAATTGACCACCGCTAACCACACCAACTGCATATTTCTAAACCATACTTCATATGCAAAGTGAAAGAACATAGAAAGTGTGATAGAAGTAAAGTGAAGTACCAATCAAGGAAAAGCTGCACATTTCATCCAAAATGTTTAGGCATTCAGAATTAATAATAATGAATGGTTAGTACAAAGGATCAATTTCAGCAAGGTGAACTAAAGAAATAAACTGAAAAATTGAGGTGAATAAGGGCTGAGGTCTCAAGAGACATGATGTCAAAATACAGCTCGTAATAGTGCTATAGTGACAGATGAATCAAGTAATCTAATTTAAATAAAAAGGTTAGGTGAGTTGTTATATATATAGAACATGTTAAGATAGCATAACCTATTAATAAGCACTAAGAAAGAGAAGATTTTGGTCACTTGAACAAACTGAAAGGATATCCAAAGTATATAGCTACCTTCTCAGCTTAAAAATATTTATCTACTTACCGTGCACACAGGGAATTGAATAAATGAAAGTAGCTCATTATTACCAATAAATTTACTGCAAGCTACCAAAAATGTGATCCATTGTAGCTTTCATATGAATAGATTTTCTTGGAACATGTCGAATACAGGTGGATTGGAAAGATAAAATCATGTCAAAGTAATCATAACAGAGACCTACCACCCAGGGTGTCCTCCGGTGTCCACGCAACACTCTTAAGCATCTTGCAGTTTGGCAATCAATAATCTTTACCGTATGGTCCCCACTGCATAAACAAAAACAAAATGTAGTTTCAATAAAACACATCTCTTGGCATAAACATAACTCCTTACAGTAAGCATCAAGGAAATTACAACTTACTGTGTAGAAGCCAGCGCCTTCCCATCAAGGTTGAATGCTTCTGCAATAGTTGACCTTGGGGGAGGCAACAATACGCAATAATCTGCTGATAGACGCTGCAATGATTCTAACTCTACCCTGAACCTAGTGAAGTAGTTTAAATTTAGAAAAATAATGTCAAACACCAAAACATCATAATGAATTTAACCATCCAAAACTGAGTACTATTACTAACATTTCCTACCAAGCATCAAGACAACATAAGCAAAACAATAAAACCCATGATTTACCATGAGACAAGACCTCGTCTTGAATTTGGCTCCTTTTCAAACCTTGACTCCAAGGAACTAGAACACTGCTTTGAAGCTTCTCTCCATCGTCTTTTAGACAAACGCTTTGTTCGAGGACAAACCTCTCTTCGCGACAATAGTCTGAACACATTGCTACCACAACCTAATTCATAAAACAAAACTAAATTAGCTATAGTTCTATCTAGGCCACAGAACAACAAATGGGAAGAAATAAGCAAATGCTACCCGCCATTATAAAAATTAACCCCGACACAAGCCTAGATATGAATCTTGTAATACTAAAACTATACAACCAATAAAAATTCTCTATACAGACTAAAGTGGCAGAAAGATACGTAAGAGAGAATATAAGCTAAACTAGCAAATCAAAATAGATAATGTGGAAATCAGTAATACTAGGTTTACACCGCCATCTCACATCACTCTCACACATCAACAAAATGACACGCAATTTCTCTCAAATTATAAAAAAAAAAACTCAAAATTCAGTTCCCCTAAATCTAATCTCCCTCCCAAAACAAAATCAAAACGTCAAACTCTCTTCTTCCCCTAAATAGAAATCTCTCTCAAAGTTGCCTAACTCAATCTTCCACCACGTCATGCGCAACTCCTCCTCCTAAAAAAATTTTCTCTCCCAAAATCCATTGAAACCTAGAATGGAACTTGAACTCAGCGCCGCAGTTTTGACGAGCTCATCAAATAGGAACCAGCACGAATGGTAAGAGCAGAAGGGGCGTTGGGGTGGCATCTAACAATGAGATAGAGAGCTGACGGATGATGGTCTCGCCCTTCACCACTAGACTTGTCAAGAACAGAGATGATTGAGAAGAGAAGCCGATGCTGAGGCCATTGTTGTTGTTGTTGTTTTGTTTTGGTTTTGAGAGCCTCTAATTGGCTAATGAAATAGATAACAGCCTTAAAACAAGAAACTATTATAAATCTTATCTCCAGTACACTATCTATCATCTTCCACCACCACCAGCTATCCTTTTCAAAGGTGAATCTTTGAGTTCTTTAATTGGGTTTTTAAGTTGATTTTATTGCTTATTTCTATAAGTTCCTTTAGGAGTTTTTGGGATTTTCTAATTGTTTATTTTATATGTTTGAATGAATAGATTGCAGTCTGAACTGATGACCTTAATTGTAAGAACACTGATATATAATTTTTTTTTCTTATTAACTTTAATTTTCTGTTTGGATGAAGAGAAAAATAAGAACCCAGAAATGGAAAGTTAGTTTTCACTAAGACAAATAACTTAATAAAATTTTAAGTTGCCCCAATTGGTGCGGATGGTGGGTGGGCAATGGGAGGGTGTAGGGCTTGTTTCTGGTTTGTTGCGTGGTGCATTTGGCATAGATGTTTTGGAGGAAGGGATATTGTTTCAGTTCTTTTTTCTCTGGTGCGTGGGTTGAATTTTTGGTTTGGGGTCTGTGTTGTGGCTGTGCGGACCATCTCTTGGGGGTGTGTGTGGTTGGCTTGGAAGTTGGCTTTGTGGGAGGAGGTGAGGGCTACATTGAGGCAGCTAGCGCTGGGGTCTTTGTGCGTTGCTATAGACTCATTTTCTCCCCTATGCTGCAGTTTATTTAACAGTAGGGGGCTATTCTTAATGCTTTTTGTGTTGGCTGTCCATTCTTGCTGTTATGTTGTTACTTGGATGTTGCTGTTGTGGTTTGTAGTGTGGGGCTATGGCTGTCACTTCTCAATTGATTTTTTGCTGCTGTTTTAGGGCAGTTTTATGCTCCGCTCCAGGTGTTTTTTGGGTCTTGTGTTGTGGCTACGCTGTTCTCTGGCTGTGTAAAGAATTTTTGGTTTTCCATCCCTAGATGGTTTTTTTGGCTGTTTAAGGGGTGTGTAAAAGGTGTACATTCTGGCTCCTTTGCTTTCTTTTGTTAGGCGGTGTCCCTTGCTTGTTTAGGGTCGTGCGCACGAGTATAGGAAGATGGTTGAGAATTGTAAAAACTCCTTGTTTTCTTTTATTAAGCAGAGAATTAAAAATGTATTTATTGATTGTACTATATTATGTTTTGTGGTTGATTTGCAAAACAAAAGCACTTAGTAATTGTAAATTTTGCAGTTTTTAACTCAAGATAGTAAGTGATCATTCATAGGAGAGTTAGGATGATTTAAAACAAGTGTTACAAACTTTAAACGATGCATTCATAATCTCTTATTTCCACCCTATAAGACTTCAATTACTTGCTAGATTTTTTTGTCATGAAACTTAAAATAAAAAGTACATCCAAGAGAAAAATCCATCCAATAGAATAGAACCTCAATGTTGCATTATAAAAACTTGTACACTCCATACATTACAACAATATTATAAAAACGTGTACACAACATACATTATAACAGTAAGAAAATAAAGTGATGAGCTGGTTTTTGATCAGTATCAGTACTCTCCTCCGACAGTTGCAACAAGCAAAACCCAATCCAGCCACTAAAAACTCAGCAGTAGCTCACGAAAAGTGAAGGGAAACAGGCCAAACAAGCTACTACTAGTAGCCATGGGACATGTCACCACTGCAGCAGAAAAAAAAAAAAAGCAGCCTCCCAACAAGGATTACCCAACTCATAGTGTTAAAATGACAATTTTAAAATGACAATTTCATGATGAGGGTCCCTGAATTTTGAAACGTTAGCTTATCAACCACATCCCCCTGTAAAAACACAACATAAGAAGAGAAGACTCTGAATTAATATTAGCTACACCAGGACACAACTCAGAAACTTGTTTTATTTAGAATAATACCACACTTAAATTTTTGTAACAGACCGCCTGGCTCTGACACCCTGACTGGCCCGGCCATGATCACACAGCGGCAGGTATTGTCCCCCCCTTAAGGGATTTCTTGCCTCCCCCATGGCTCGAACTCATGCCCAAGGGGGTATAGACAAATGGGAAGCACAATGAGTACCATCAGGCCAGCACGGCGGTCTGTTACATAAAAAGGCGCTTTTATTGTAAGGACCGGATTCGGTCATGGGCTATCCCAATTTGGGCTCTTTCCTCATGGGCTTTCCCAATCTTGCCGGCGGCCTCACTACTAGGACTATCTCCCCCCTTAAGGGATTTCTTCGCCCCCCACCCACTCGAACCCAAGACCAAGGGCTACAGTCAATTGGGGAGCATGGTGAGTACCATCAGGCTAGATAAAATGTAACAACTCCTTTTAGTACTATTCTTATAATACGACTATGTAAAATATGATATGTATATAATATGAAAGATAGTGGGCTCAAATTTTCTTTACTCATTAAAATATACTTCTTTACAATACAAAAATATAGTATTAAAAACTTTCTAATTAATACAAAATATCATAGCTGGTGACAGTGTGCCATACTCTTCGCTCGACGTCCATCCGACCGCTGCTCTATTTCCTGCCAAACAGAGAAGAACAACGGGGTGAGCAAAACAATGGTCAGTAAGTAAATCCTCTAATACCTGTCCCCGCAACTCACTCTTTGGTTCTCTCCTTACTCTACTGTTCTTTCTATTTCTTTTACTCATGTTTTCTCTTTCTTATATACTGTATCTCCTTTAACCTGTTTTGCTCTTTACTCTTTCTTTCTTCTGTCTTTTTCTCTTATTCTTACTCACCATGAAGGACAATCATGGTTCTTCTTTCTCATCATACTCACCATGAAGGAAAATCATGGTTCTCGCCGGTACAAGCTCTACATGAAATCATGTTTCTTTCTTCTACTCTCTATTTTATTAGCTTAAACTTTCGCATTCTTTCTCATACTTCTCTCTCTTTCTATCTCATTCTTTCTCAAGCTTTCTCATTCTTTAATTCTTTCTATTATCTCATCTCATTTCTGTTTCTCTTTCTCATAACTCTTTCTGTTAACTCTCTCTTAGTAGTCACGGCCTCATCTTACCGGAGGCACGGCCAGGACTCGCTCCCGCTCTAAGTGACTTCTTCTCATTCTAGCCGATCAGACTTGGTTATGCAGGATTCGGAACCTTTGCCATGTGAGTGTATAATCTATCCTGGGTACTGGGTATAGCCCTCATCCGCATGCACTCTCTCACGGGCTACACCACTTCTCTATCTCATACTCAGCCGCTCTCTCAATGCGGCGTACATGCGGGAATACTGTACCCATTAATCACGGGTTCCCATCGCATAACCTACCCTATGCTCTTGTCTCTCTCTTATTCTTCTCATGTTGCTCATCTCTTTCTCAAGTAGTACTCATAATATAGCTTAACTCTTAGCTTTTCTCATCTTGTTCTTTCTATTTCTGTCTTTCTCATTCTTACTCATTGGAAGTCACGACCTTATCTGACCGGAGGCACGGCTGGGCGCTACCACTACGTGACTTATTCATTCGTACCGAGGATTTAGTCATGCATGGATTCGGACCTTTGGCCATGTGATGTGTACAACTCTCTCTCTCTGAATGTCACGGCCCCATCTTATCAGAGGCACGGCTGGAACCGTGTTCCACTCTGAGTGATGGTCACGGCGCATCTGACCGGAGGCACGGCTGGAACCTCGTGTTCCACTCTGCGTGACTTACTCGTCACTCACAGGTTCCCATCGCACAACTTACCTATTCTCTTCTTAAATCTTGTGCACAAGATCTTACTCTTTCTCTAGCTACTATCATAATGTAGCTTAACTCTTAGAGTAATTCTCTACTCTTTCTCTAATTTTCTCTTTACTCAGAGATTCTCATTCCTTTTACTCTTAAGAGTTGCTATTCTCAACATTCTCACTTTTTCTCACTCAAACTATTACTCATAGTATGCTTATACTCAAAATTCTCACTCTTAAGCTAGTATCCTAAGGTAGCTCATACTCAACATTCATATTCTTTCTCAAGCTACTTCTCAATGCCAAATTAATGCATATGGATGGTTCATACTCATTAATGCACTTTTGAAATGCCAAATGCAAGATTTCCTCAAAACAGTCATTCTGCCCAAGTCACACTAAAAAGACCATAACTTGCGTTATACACCTCGGATTGCTACGGTTTTGGTCTCGTTTTAAATCTTAGAAACAGGGCTATAACTTCTATGTTTTGGTCTCAGCCCAGTTCAGTGCCGTAAGTGTCCAAAAATTACTTAGAAAGTACGGCAGTGACAGGACAGATTTCACTTAGGCATTTCATCAAACAACTTATGTGCATACAAAAACTCTTCTCTAACTACAACTCTCCTTCTCTTTTTAACCATCAAAAATGGGAGGAAACTCCCTTCTATGGGCATGGTTCTATCATAGAAGAACACTCCCAAAGTATCTACCAATCCCTCCAACTTCATCTCAAACTATTACTCATAAACATTTCCCATAAAGGAAATACCCAACAAACATAACATAAATCTGTTCTCAACTCAAATCTCAACAAATAGACATACATCTTACTCAATTTTCTCAACAAGCATATATATACATGCACAAATAAATCTCTACTTAAGAATTTCTTAAACTTTAGCTTGAGTTGGATTTACTTACCTCATACTTGAGTTTCTCCACTAAAGCTCCTACTCTTGTTGGATCTTAGCTTTTCCTTATTTCCTAAGCAAAACTTAGTAAGAATTTAACCCTTACATAAATAAAACTCATCTCTAGAGTAGGATTCTTACCTCTTCTTGCTTAGGATCACTCTTTGTCAAATTCCAACTCAAAACTTCAAAAATCCCTTAGAAAATTGAGTGAGAATTGAGAGAAAATGGGAGATGAAGAGGCGGTGGAAATGGGAAAATGAATGGGTTTAGAGAACTCAACCCTTATAGCTCATAAATATCTACTTCCCATTTTGCCCTTACTCTTTCTTGAAATTTCCACCTTATCCTTTAATTCTTTACAAACTCACCCCCATTTTACACTATTCTCCAGAAATTCCTTGCATTCTACTCCACTTTTCCTGCTAATGGGGTAGAATGGTCATTGTGCCCCAAAAGAAGAATTCTCTAAAAAACTCAAGAAACTTCTGCCGTCTCGTCGCCACGGCGAAGAACTTCCTGTCGCCCCGGCGAACATTCCAGAACCAAACACGCCAACACAGAAAACAATGTCGCCGCAGCGAAGCTTCCCCTCGCCCGGTGAAGACTAAAACTCCAAATTGCTAAGTCTTGATCAATTCCAGGGTACACACTCAACCAAACCCAAAACATAAACTCAATCAAAGACCAACCAAACAACATGAACCTATATAAACTCATTTAGGGGCAATTCAGTAATCCTTTAGGCCATACGTAAACAGTGGCTACGTATTCAAGTGGGGTGTTACAATTTTTTTATACAAACTATTGTATAAAATTGATGTAACACAACTATAATGGAAGAGTGAAATACACAAGATAACTCAATTATAGTAGCACTTTATCTACTTCTACTGTATTTCTCTAAAATATGCATAGTAAAATACATGTAAAATAGTATAAAAAAAGTTGGGCCCAAATTTTTTCTTTATTAAATATATACATTCTTTCTACAAAAAGTTTTCATGTACAAAAGCATCAAAAAACAGGTGGACAGTGTAGCCATTTCCCTTGCTTGCTGACGTACATCCGACCATGTCCACCTAGATCCTGCAAAACATGGAAGACAACGGGGTGAGCACAACTAATGTTCAGTAAATAAATCCTTACCCATCTATCCCGTAACTCTTTCTCTAATCTCCTTACAATTCTCTTACTCTTACTTTCTTTCTTTTTTTCTATCGGTTTCTCTCTCTATGTTTTCTTCTTTTCTATTAACCCTCTCTCTCTAGCAAGGCACGGCCCCATCTAACGGAGGCACCGCTGGGACCCACCCCACTCTCCGTGACTTTTACCATTCTAGCCGATCGGACTCGGTTATGCATGGATCGGAACCCTGGCCATGTGAGTACATAATCTTTCTCTGGGTAAACTCGGGTATAGCCCTCTTCGCTGCACTCTCACGGGCTACACCACTTCTCTTATACTCATGTCCGCTCTCTAATGCGACGTACATGCGGGAATACTCTACCTATTACTCACGGGTTCCCCATCGCACAACCTACTCATTCTTTGTCTAGCACTACTTTCTCTTTATTCTCAGTACTACTTCTCTCATCTCTCTACTCTAGAGTAGTTTAAACTAATTTCTTACTCACTTTTTCTAATGCATAATTAATGCATGATTAATGCATATAGATGACTCATGCTCATTAAGCACTTATGAGATGCAAATATGCTATGTAGCAAAAATTAAGGCTTTTACTCTTACTCATGCTTCTCTTGAACATTTATCATACAACTCAAGTGCATATAGAGCTCTATTAAACTATAACTTTTCTCTTTCTTTAATCATACAATGGGAGAAAGGCTCCTTATACTCCTAATTTCCCTATCAAAGGAAAACACTTCTATAATTGCTCAAAACTTCATTCCATTCAATCAAACTAACCCAACATCAAGTAATCTCAACACTTTTCGTATATAAGTATATGCAACACAAGTATAAAAATAACTCATCTCATCTCAATTTCTCAACAACATACTTACACATACATAAATCTATACTCAAAGATTCTTGAATCTCAACTTGGTTGGATTTACTTACTTTGTGAGGAGATAGCTTCTTTAATACTTCTCATTTCCCTTGGTAGCTTGATTCTCTCTACAAACTTTAAATAACAACCACAAACATAAGACTTAAATCAAACATCATAAAACTCTCATGAGGGACATAGTCAGAATTTGTAGTAACTGGGTCAAAACATCAGCTACAAACCAAAGTCTTAAATCTTATAATTTAAACTTTTCAAACAATTTCTACTCAACTTAATAAAATTCAACTTATAAACCCATGAGAATTTGTCAAATCTAACTCCAACTATCAAGCAATTAACCAATATATCAAAATTAAATAATATCCTTAAATCTTTACAATTTAGGGTTTTATCAACTATTTAAACTCATTCAAAATTAACTCAATAACTAATTAAAATTTATTAAACTCAACTTAAAACAACAACTAATTAATCCATACTTCAACATAAACAACATTAAATCAAAACTCACATCAAAATTTAGGAATTTAATATTTCAATTCCAAACTCATTTATTAAACTCAACAAAAACTCATAACTCATAATTTTTCATCAACTAAGAAAATTAAAAGAAAATATTTTTAAGAAAAAAAATGAGCATCATCTTACCTTGTAACCTCCAAATGAGTATCATTTCTTAAGTAATCCAACTAAATGACAAAGAAAGTATGAGAGAAAATTAGAGGAAATGAAGAAAAGAGAAAGGTGAAAAATTGTTAATTAATACAAATTTTTGTGGGATCAAAATTATCAATACTATAAAATATAAAGTTATTATTATTATTTTTTTTTTTTTTTTTTTTAGTTTGAGTGGATTCAATTGAACTCATATTTTATATACTAACTACGTCTTTGGGCAAGATAGAAAGAGAAACACTATGACTTTAGAGTCGATTATTAAATGTTTTTAATCCAATTATTTTTTATGACTTTAGAATAAGTTATTAGTCGAACTAGAACAGTACATTAGGACTTCCATGGCACTAGAAAACAAAGTTTTTAGGTGGAGAAAAATGCATAAAAGACAAGAACCGCTGGACTTGGGTTGCTCAAACCAATAATTAATAATTAATTGAATAAGTGTAAATCAGATCACAGAAAAGTTGGTTCAACCATTTAGGTTGATCGATTCAATATAATAACACTGCAGAGTAGTAACATGAGCTTACTTTCCACCATTGTTACCGACAATCCATTTTCCTACCTGGAACAAAGATTAGGTGAAGTTCAATATTAAATGTCTATAGATGCTTTCCCTTGGCACCAAATACACAAATAGTATACGGGGCGAAAAGACAATCCCAGAAGCATAATCGAACAAACTACAGTCCAAACAATAACTGATCATTCTTCCTGTATCAAAATTCCTCCCAAGTCTAATTGCCAAATATCATTAAACCATTAAATTCAAATAAAATCAAGCCATTGCGTATCTCCGATTCAAACAGCTCTCAGCTCAGGAAGTTCCAGGCAAACGATTGCTAGAAGTACTACTGAAAAAAAGAGATTGTTTTCTGAAACATTTTTTCAGATAACAAATTTCACTCATCAATATCAATTCAATCATAAGAGGGAAATTATCCATTAAGTAAATACACATTTGATACACTATATATATATATATATATATAAAAGGGATGACTTCTTCAACTTCAATGCTCTATGCTCGGCTAGGACAATAACACTCTCATCTTATGAAAGTCCCCTTCAAGGACATAACGATTAAATTTAAAAATGCCATCTTTTTCATCAACACAAACGCATTACATGTACATGAGCTAGCTATTTAACCTCAACATCTTTTCTGTACAAACAAGAACTAACATAAACCTACACATCCCGTCTGCATACAGGGCATGAACCATGTCTGATGAGCCACTTGTCCACACATGCCAAGTGAAATGTGTGGTGGCAATGGGGCAAGCTTCTTGCAACTTCCCCAGTTACGATATCCTGCCACAAAAAGTTATCAATATCATTAACATGCCACTAGCAGAGACCAATAGAATACTACTACAATAATTGATGACTAAGTGAGGACCAGATTTTCCAACTAAAATTAATGAATATAATGTTAAAATAAAATACCTGCAAGCATATAGAGCAGCAGAGATTCGGTGTTGCCTTGATTTCATCCTTGATCACATGACAAGGTAAGTTCTTCAATGACTCTCCTGACAAACCTTTGGATACAGCTTTGCCATAGGCATCAGTTACATCGTAGTTTATGCTAGCAATACTTACCTGCTCATTCCAATGCATATTGATTAATAAAACAAATCTCCAAAATAAATATCAATTCATAATTAAATTCTTTGACTGGTAATTGCTGCACAAAATTTAAAATTTTTAAATCAGGAGTATAATGACATAAAACAGCCATACAACATATATTTATTTATGTTCCATCTTAGGCATCAACGATTATTTCTAGGAAATACCACATAGATATCACATTAGCCATACCACAAGTTAATGGTTTTATGCCAAACCTGAATTTTCTCTCTCATCAATCTTTGCAATTAATTTTATTTTTTAGTAACATGTATGCATTGGTTTGTAATACAAATAATGTGTACCACTGTTAACAGCGTTGACTTTCTCTTGTTCCTAACATTTGACAAAGGACATCCCTCCACATATTCATACAAAATTCTTCACAGCAGTATTTTAGATGCTTATGATTTTCCATAAATTTGATACTACTGAGGATTTATGTTTGTCAGATAATGTAAATTGATAAATAAATACTCCTGAAAGAAATTAAAAATGAAAATAAACTTGCTAGAATCTGTGGTTATCAATTTTATTTCAATTTGTCATAAATACCTAAAGGCTAATCTCAATAGGTAGATATAAAGCAACACTGTCGACTAAAATTCAAATATTAGTGAAAAATACCTTAAAAATTTTAAGATGCACATCACAAAAAAATATAAAATAAATATGTACCTGCCAGTGGTAAGCAGCTAACATTGCTGGGGTAAATTGTTCCTCGAAAAACCTCCCACGAAGAAGCTCCTCTATAAAGTCCGCCTAGACCCAACGTGCATATGATTAGTCCATCACTAAACATTAAGACAACAGTTCCTTCCCCAGACTGATACAAGATAAAATAATGGAAAGATTTTGGAAGTCTATTATGTGGTTTTCAACAAAAATGCAGCAGTTTTCTACTCACGATCGAAACTAAAACATCAGACGGGCAAATCATGATCTGCTTAATTACCTTTCCCCGTAAACAAAAACAAGTCCAGTTATGGGCCTTATGGCATATAATTATGATTGGTGCACAAACAACATTTAACCCATGCAAACACAAAAATTTTGATTAATTGATCTAGTAACTTACCATAGATGACTCGCCCCGAGAACCAGAGCGTTCCAAACACCAGTAAGCACGAGAAGCCTCCAAAACCTCTACAGATAGGACAGCCCCAGCAATGGCACCGAGTCCAGCTCCTCGTAGCACACCACAATCAGAAGCCCTACCAGCAAAAGCACCCGTAATTGCTCCTGTAAAAGCTCCAGCTGCGAGTAAATACACAAACATATATCAGCATATCGTCAAAATACACCCACCGAATCGAAACTTTCTAACCCATCAAAGTTCCATTCTATAGCAACCCTCAAAATTCATCAAAACTCCCGTATCTGAAACTGAAACATTACCCACCCACCCCCCAACCCAAAAAATAAAAACCGTCATCTAACTCAAGTTTGAAAATTGAACCCGAAAATCATTTTATTTCTTTTACGACCCAGAAACAAAGCAAGCCTAAAAATCTCGGATTTTGTACGACTGATAAATTTGCAACGAATCATTTGAAAAGCAAAGTGTAACACGTAACTGCAAGAAATAAAGATATAATTTCATCAATGATACCTAGAGCAAAGAGGCCTGTGAGAGTGCCAGAAATAGCGCCAGCGATGAATTTGGGAATAGAGTGAAAAGGGGCGGAGGCTTGGAATTCGACATCCTCCATGAGCGGCGGAGGTGGAGACGGCGGCACAGAAGCGGAAGACGCGTATTAGTGGTGGTGACAGGCAAAGTCGGGAGGGATCACGTCCATAAAGACATTAAAAAAACATGTCGGGCATCAAAGCGAAAGAGGAGGATAGACGTTAGATGAATATTAGGGTCAGTTTCGGGATGAGGAAAAAAGTAGGACGGTCAAGAGAAAAAGGGGTTCTGCCTTTTCTTTTGTTATAGAAAGAGTGAAAGAAAGGAAGGAAGGAAGGAAGGAAGAAGAAGGCGACAGGTGGCCGAAGAGAAAGGAGGATGATTTAATTTAGGTTAGGGCTTAAGTAAGGAAGATTGATATGATTACATAGGATTTTATAGTTATATTTTAATAAAATCCGTTGGATTTTGTGAGAATTGCCAACTAAGATGAAGGTGAGTTGTTGGATCGCGTAATTTCAATCCACGTTTGAAGAAAATGAATCAATATCATTCTTTACAACACAAGGGTGGTTGTTGTTTGTGTTTGTGTTTATGTCCATCTTCTAGTAACCAATTTGTCGTTTTCTTTGTGTATAATTTTTTATTATTTATGCAACAACATGTGCATTCTATGATGGTCAAAATCTGAAGAGAAGAGAAGAGATACCTTTCATGCCTTTTCTAGGTTGTCAGAACTTGTTTTGCTTTTAAGTTTTATTTTAATGGCTTATGTACCACCATCCAGAAGGCCTGCACAAACCCTAAATTTGGGGATATATTCAAGAGCAGACAGTATAGAACTTCATAAAAAGAGGGAGATATGAGGTTTGCAAAAGCAAATTTCGCCTGCTTTTATTACAATAATTTCTGCTCTTCACAAGCTGCCATTGAAGCTTATCAAGATTATGTACAGTTATTGTTAGGCAACTCACAAGGTCTTCAAGAATAAAGGATGCTCTTGATATCATGATTTTGTTCCTCAAGGAATGAGAAGAATAATTGCACTGTACACTGAAGAGGAAAACTTGTTTACGAGGAGGATTGTTGGTGTACTGTTCCCCAAATCATTCTTCCCCACTTAAAACCTGGCAATACAACTTGCCCACTTCTAAGGGCCAATGCAGAGAATGAAGCAGCTCCACGTCTACTTGAAATTGCCAAGGGTCCTATAAGAGACACCAAAATCATGCCAAATCTTGTCCACATTCACCAGTAACTGTTGCTTCAAATGACGAAGGAAAGAATCTTGGTCAAAACACCAAAATTGCTAGTTCTTTTGAATCCTTGGAACAGCTTAGAGCTGAATTCAGATAACCATTCTCTTGGTAACCCTGAGCTATGATCCGGTAAATGACAGCATTGGGCAGGATACCCATCTTTATCATATCTGCATGCAGCATCATTACATCAAGCATATGCTTGGCCTGAAAATGACCCCGTAACATGACAGTATAAGCAATCGCATCTGGGCTAAAACCATCTTTTCTCATATCTGAGAAGAACTTACTGGCTCTTAAGATTCTCCCATCTTTGCACAAAGCTTGAATAAGTGATGTATACATCACACGATTAGGAGAACTATAGCAGCCTTCTCTTTTATCAGTGTTCTCCAAAAGCAACTTGATTGCATCAGAAATCCTTCCGCTTTTACATAGACCATCAATCAAGCAACTAATTGTGAAAACATTGGGAGTGAGTCTGGCTTCTAACATCTCCTTATGCAGCTGGAGAGCTCCTTTTAAGTTACCATGTTTGCAAAAACCATCAATCAAAGCTGTATAAGCAACAACATCGGGCACAAGGCTTTTAATTAGCATTTCTGAGTACAAACCCATGGCAGCCTCCATGTTTCCCACCTTACAATGACCATCAATCAAAGTGGAAAAGGTTATGAGGTTGGGTTCGACACCCCTGTCAGTCATTTGACAACACACATCCAAAGCCTTCTTCATGTTGCCTTCTTTACAGTATCCATCAATAAGTGAATTGTATGTCACAGCATTCATAACAACTCCCTCTTTATTCATTTCTTGAAATAAGCCATCTGCTTCTTCCACTTGACCCACACCACAGAGACCCTTAATAAGTATACTGTAAGTGAATACATCTGGCAAGATTTGAAACTTTTTCATCTCAGACAAAAAACCCATTGCTCCATAGATATTCCCTGCCTTACAATGGCCATCAATCAAGCAATTATACACAAATATGTTAGGAACAACACCAAACTTAGCCATCCAAATGAAAAAATTTCTTGCTGCTCTCAGTTCACCCACTTTGCACAGCCCATCTATTAGGCTACCAAATGTAACAACATTTGGCAGCAAATTTTGTCCTAACATGTCTTTATACAAGTCAAGTGCTCGTTTCATGTTGGCCTGTTTGCAGTAACCATCCATTAGAGCATTGTAAGTGTACAAATTAGGAAGCACGCCAGATTCTCTCATTGACCTGAAAATACTTTCAGCCTCCATCATCTTACTCTCATTGCACAAACAACGAATAAGAATCGTGTAAATTACCACTGTGGGTTTAATCCCCTTCTCAACCATCTCATCAAACAAACAACGCGCTTTCAAAACATCACCTTCACCACAGCAGCCATCAATCAATACCCCATATGTGACAACTCCAGCAACAAAGCCACGCGACAGCATGTCCTCGTAAAGTTCCCACATGGCATCAAACCTCCCCTTCTTAACCAACACATTTAACAATGCATTACACGCCTGAATAGCAGGCAAAACTCTGATTTTGCGATAAACCCACAAAGACTCTTCAATGAAACCGATCTCGGAAAATGAAATAATCAACGTCCCGAACACATCGGGAGTGCATTTCGGGCTCCGTAAACTGTTAAGAGCATTAAAGAGCGCATAACAGACACGGTGGGGTTTGCGAGAGTTAAGGAGATTTTCAGTGAGGTATTTCATCAAACACCTAGCCTCTGAGTACAATTTAGCATTGGTTAAGACATGAATAATCGCCGCATAGGGTGCAAGATACTTGGTTGGGTTGAGCTTCTTTGAAGAGGAATTGAAAAGGTTGAGTGCTTGGTAAGGAGTTCTGGAATTCAGTATAGCATTTGTTAGATTTGAGGGCGACTCAAATGGTGATGATGAAAGTTTCGATATTGATGATGAAGAGATTGATCTTAAAGTGTGATGGATGTAGACAAGTGCTTGTTTTGGCGGGAAAATCTTCAACATTGCTATAAGTGAGATGCGTTTCTTGACCCATCTAGTCCTCACATTCCCGTCCTCAACTGCTTTTCAATAATAAGCATAAAGGGAGGGGAAACGTTTAATCACAGAAGGCCACATATAAAGAGGAATTTCTCTTTACACTATCCTTTATTTATCTCATTCTACTTTTTAACCACCAAATGAGGAAGAAAATAAGGGTGATAGTTCTGAAAATGTTTCAAGAAGACGGGAAAAAGAAGAGCGTGTTGAAGGGTTAGTTTATTTTTATAATAGAAAAACACTATAAAAAATGTTGGGTTGGCCAAAAGAAAATAGAAAAGTATTTTTAATTCTTTAGAAAATGCTTTTCTGAAAATTTTAAAAGAACAAATAGTCATCATATATCTCTCAATTTAACATTTTAAAGTCTTGCTAATTACTTGTCTTTCACTGACGACACTAAAATGTTTGTTGAAGAACCCGTTCGCCCCAATACAGCAACAGGCTCCAGAGCTCTACAACAGCACCTCTTCTCTCTACTGCAAAGCTGCAACAACATTAAAAGCCTCACCCAAATTCATACACAAATTGTCATTTGTAGCTTTTCCCATAAAAACTTCATCCTTGTAAAGCTCTTATCTTTGTACATAACATCTAGTCATCTCCTGACTGCCCACAAAGTTTTTGAAAACATCGAAAACCCAAGTACAACGGTATGGAACCAAATTATTAGAGGCCATGCTAGGAGTGAAACGCCTCAAAAATCAGTTGAATTGTACAAGCAAATGGTAGCAAAAAATGAGGCTGAGCCTGATGAGTTCACCTATTCGTTTCTTTTAAGCGCTTGTGCGAAGAAAAGTTTGTTTAGAGAGGGGGAACAGGTTCATGGGAGAGTGTTGGCAAATGGGTATTGCTCAAACGTGTTTGTTAAGACGAATTTGGTGAACTTGTATGCAATGAAGGGAGGGGATAGCGGCGTTGCAGAGGCACGTAAGATGTTCGATGAAATGTCCGAAAGAAATGTTGTGACCTGGAATTCGTTGCTTAAGGCGCATCTGAAGTGCGGAGATATTGATGGTGCGCGGAGAGTTTTTGATGAGATGCCTCAGAGGAATGTTGTTTCATGGACGACTATGATTTCGTGGTGTGCTCATAATGGTTTGTGTAAGCAAGCTTTGTCTTTGTTTAATGAGATGGGGAGAGCCCGTGTGGGACTAGACCAGGTGGCTTTGGTTGCAGCTTTATCGGCTTGTGCTGAACTCGGGAACTTGAAGTTGGGAAGGTGGATACATGTTTATATTGAGGAGAATTTTTTTGTTGGAAGAGAGACACTTTTAGTTTCTTTGAACAATGCACTTATACATATGTATGCTAGTTGTGGTGAGATTCACGAAGCTTATGAAGTGTTTAGAAAGATGCGGCGGAGAAGTATTATTTCCTGGACAAGTATAATAATGGGATTTGCAAAGCACGGTTATGCTAACGAAGCTCTTTTTTTATTTGAATGGCTGCAAAATTTGGGAGCAAATGAAGTGAGACCTGACGGGACAACCTTGCTTGGGGTTCTGTGGGCTTGTAGCCATGCTGGTTCTGTTGATAAGGGGCGCCAAATTTTTGAGTGTATGACTCGAAGATGGGGGATTGAGCCAAGGATTGAGCATTATGGGTGCATGATTGACCTCTTGAGCCGTGCAGGGTTGCTGGGTGAAGCATGTAGTCTTATTTATAGTATGCCCATGAAACCAAATGATGCTGTGTGGGGTGCTCTCCTTGGTGGTTGCAGAATTCATTGCAATGCGGAGCTTGCCTCTGATGTGGCACAGAAATGGGCTATTGAACTTGATCCTGACCACGCCGCAGGTTATCTGGTACTCTTGGCTAATGTTTATGCTACTACTAAAAGGTGGCATGATGTAGCTGCTGTTAGACAGAAGATGATTGAGATGGGTGTGAGAAAGCCTCCGGGTCGAAGTCGTGTGCAAATAAATGGAGTTGTTCATGATTTTGTTGCAGGTGACTCGACCCATAAGCATGCTTCCTTAATATATAAGATGCTAGACGAGATCACCAGGCAATCTATGTGGGAAGGCTACAAGCTAGACGTATCCGAGTTATTTTCAGTTGTTGAAGAATAGGGCAGGTAGCAAAAGAATGTGGTTTTCTTCTCTTTCAAATCTGCATTCTGAAGTCTGAACTATGTGCAGGTACTCAAATTGTGAATATGGTCATTCCTGCTGAAAGCATCCGAACAGCTTTTCAAAATTTTGTCGGACATTGTTAGTTAAGTTTTTTCATCATGTTAGTAGGAGAATCCATCACTGTAGGGAAAGAAAAATGCTATCCTTACTCACTCCCTTTACTCACTTCTCTTATTCACTTTTGTTAAAATGGTATATGGTACCCGTATTGTACGTATAGTACCCGTACTATGCTGTATATTTATAAAAGTGAGTAAGAGAAATGAGTAAAGGGAGTGAGTAAGGGTAGCATTACTCGTAAGGAAAATGACTTGTGGATCAGTGTTTTAAAATCTCTAGCTAGATTTCGATGCCCCTTTTTTCTTTAGCTATCACAGAGATTTATCATGTAATCATCTATAATGCGTGTTTTTTGTGGTTACATTCAGCTCTTATAAGATAGTTCAAACACAAGCATAACATTTTTTGCCAAATCTTCAAAAGTATGTAAACTTATTTAAATTAATAGGCAGAAATGCTTAAATCAACTCCTGAGTAGCCGAGCAATTTGATAGAGACTCTTGGGTGTATTATTCAAGATGTTTTAAGTTCAAATCTCTCTTTAGTTGCTAATAAGAATGGTCACTGAAGCTCTTATTCGGTCGGTAATTCTAAAGTCCCAGATGATTAATTGAAATACACATAATTTGGTCAAAAATAAAGCTGTTTATGATACAGTTGATTATCAAAATGTTCTTTTATCCCTCTCGCATAGTGTTTGAGCATAGATTTTTTCTTCAAGATGAGTCGGCACTATTTCCTGCAACCACAAAAGATGAATACTAACGTCCAACGGGTGCACATATCCAATATTCAGGGTGTGCTTAGTTGGGGTTAACAGTCCAAAGGTGTTTTGTAAACACATTTCAACATAGACACCATATATATTTTATCTAAACTAGATTATTTATAAGCCGTTAACTCAAAAGTGATTCAAGGAAAAGCTACATTTATCATAAACTAAGCCTAAAACAGCCATTAAAAACTCTCAATAAATTGGTATAATTTTACTAAAAGTATAGCCAATGGGAAAATAAAAACGATTATATTAAAAAAATTTAGTTCGTTGGTGTAGGAGTTAGATTTTGTTTGAATATTTGGGGGGCTAAGGTAATTTGGGAGAGAACTCAAACTCAAAGTGAAGCCCAAATTCAAAGAGAAGTGGAACATGGATGTTAAATTTAAAAGAGATACAAGGTGTAGAGGAATTAAGTGAGGTGGCAATATCAAAACGTAAGAACTTTTCGCTAAGGCAAGCGTGCTACTGCCATATAATTAGGAAGAAACACGTAAATTATAGATACCGTAAGGTCCGTTTGGATGGGGTAATATTAGATCACTGAGATAATATTTTTTAAATTAAGCAGATGATTATGTTTAATTGATTTGTCAAAAATTATTCAGATGTGGTTATATTAGATAACTGAGGCAATAATTTTTTAATGGAACAGATGACTATGTTTGGTTGATTTGTAAAAAATTATTCCCAGATTCAAATAAAACAAACAATGGCATTTGGGGGGTAAGTTGCTAGGAATATTAATACCTTTGTGGGGGTGGGGGGAGGTAATCCAATTTTGTGTCCTATGTTGCTCCTAAACAGTTAAGCATTTGATTCAAATTAGCCTTATATTTGTTAAGATTTACAAAACACCAAATCAACTCATACAGACCCTTTTGTCCTCACTTTTTAAATTTTCCAGACAACATTGCCCTTGTTATTGTCATTATTTATAAAAATGCCACGAAATGTTGTTGTACCCTGAACCAACCACCATCGCCAGCCGTCGTTGACTGTCAAAAGTCACCATAATGGCGTACGACCGACCAAATATGGCTGACCGTGCACTGATAAGGCCTAGAAACGACCAGATCTAGCTGTTTTAGAGCCAAAGATCTGGCCATGAACCATTTCATAGTTAGATCTATGGCCGTTTCATGGCCACATCTTTGGCTGTGAAACGGCCAGATTTGTGGCACTGTCAGTGGTCGCCAGCGGTGGTGGTTGGCTACCTGCAATGGCTTGGAGTTGGTAAGGGTGTTTTTGTTAAGTTTAAAACATTTTGGGTTGCTATGGTGTTTTTGCTAAATCTAAAAAGTAGGGGGTTAACAAAAATTATTCAAAAAATAATAATAAAAAATATTATTATAGTAATATTTTAAAAGGAGAGCAATTTAGTAATTTATATAACATACCCATCTATTTATCCTCCCAACCAAACATATTATTCACCAATTTATTCGAACTAACCAAACATATTTTCTAAACACTCTCAGTAATCTTCAAAATGATTTTTTTTCCGTTAATATAATATCTCCTATAATAAAACATTATATGATCCAAACGTCCCTTTATAGAAAACTTTATTATTTTCAATGTGTGTTTTCTCTCACGCCAGAAAATCTATATGAAGATTTATGAATTGAATCTTCAATTCGGGAAAAGTGAGAAAATTAAGACAAAAAGAATTTTGGTATTTTAATGGAAGCAATAGGATAATTATAGATTTTGTAGAAGAAGGTTCTTATTCATATTATTTTCTATTTTATTTTAAAAAAGAGATGGGGAACAGGTTGGACCCATGAAAATATAACATTATTGTGGTCAACCAAATTATGAATTGTAACATTTTTCAACTGTTGTAATTATACAAGCATGTATGTCTAGGAGCAGGCAAGTCCTGTCCTGGGGTAGTCTGTTGAGTTGTACAAATCAAATGTTTTAGGAATATGATCAAATGTTTTAGGAATAGGATCTTTAGAATAGGAAATTAGATCATTCCCTTTCCTAGTTTAGATTATTTCATTTCCTTATATGGACAGTTGAATGTGTATATATTATTGTATTTTGTTCACAATCAATACTAAGAAAATTCTTCTGATTTCACATGGTATTAGAGCTAAGAAATTAGAAACCTTAGGAAAAAATTTATTTTCTTTTTCCGGCAAAGTTCAGGCTATCTCCTTTTGATGTTGAATCACTCTTCTAACCACACCAGCCTGTTCGTCTTCTCCTCGCTGGCAAAACCTGAAAATTTCATCACCAGTCGCAGTCGCACGCGTCTCCACACGTCAGTCTTCTTTTCGACAGCTTCTTCTCCGATCTCCTTCTCCGATGAGTGTGAGGTCTCACCGTCGGCACTTGTGCACTCAGACACCATCGGCGAGCACACCCACCACCATCCGACCTGCATTGTCATCATTGGTGCCGGAAATAGCCCACAACCGCCAAAATATTCTCTTTTTTTCGATCTGGCCAAAATCAGTTTTGTTTGTCAGCCTAGATTGGTTCAATCTCTCCCACAAGACAATCATGCTCCCTGAAGGATCCAACACCAAATCAGGTTATATTTCTTTTTTATCTTTTCCTCCGATCACAACTGAAAAATTAATAGGCAGCTCCAATTATTCTTCATGGATTGCCTCTGATGAACTATGGTGTATGGGACATGGTCTGGAGGATCACTTGACCACTAAGGCTAAAGATGTCATGGATGATAAAACTACCTAGGTAAAGACAGATGCCTTGGTATGTGGTTTATTATGGCAGTCTATTGACCCTCACCTTCATTCTACTTATAAAATATATCGAACCTGTTTTGATGTATGGTGACAAGTCAAATTACTTTATACTAATGATATCCAGAGACTCTATTATGTTGTGTCCAATTTGGTTAATCTCAAATAGCAAGATATAGGCATGTCTGACTTTATTGGCAGGATGGCCTCTCTCAAGGCAGAATTTAATTTGTTATTACCCGCTGGCAAGTCTGCAGTAGAAGATCTGACACAATGAGACAAATTCTTTATGGTTCTTACTCTTACCGCTATCAGTCCTGCTCTCACTCTAGTACGAGATTAGATTCTAGCAAGTGCTATTGTGCCTTCTCTTGATGAAGTTTTTGCTCAATTACTTCGAGTCTCCTCCCCTGGTGTTGTGGTTGGATTTTCCCCAATTGATTCTTTTGTCCTGGCCTCTCAATCTCAAACTTTTGTTAAAGGAGAACAGGGGGATCGTAGTGGCAAGGGAGGTTGACCCAAGTGTAGTTATTGTCATAGGTGGGGACATATCCGAGAGAAATGCTACAAATTACATGGGCATCCTCCTCGAGTTGCCAATGTCGCATCTCTTGATCATCATTCTGAATCTTCTGAAGAATCAAGTCTGCCATCCTTGACTCTTATAGGTGTTGATTATGACAAATATCTCAAGTTCTAGGCAAATAAGCAGTCTTCTTCATCTATTGCTTCCATCGCTCAATCGGGTAAATCAGTTGCATGCCTCACTCAGTCGTCTCCTCTAGGGTCTTGGTTCTTGATTCTGGTGCATCAAATCATATCTCTGGTAACCCCCGTTTGCTTTCTCATCTTATTAATACTACCTCTTTGTCTCCTGTTACCTTAGCCAATGAGACCAAAGCAGTTGTTAAAGCAGTAGGTCGGGCACAACCACTCTCCTCCGTGACTTTAGATTATGTCTGTATATTTGCCATTGCCCTTTTAACCTTCTATCTGTCAGTAAACTCACCACTCTTTAAATTGTTCTATCACTTTTAGTAGTGATTCTGTTGTTATATGGGACCGCAACATGGGACAAATGATTGGCGCAGAACATGAGTCACAGGGTCTCTATCATCTCAAGTTACCTTCTGCTCGCATTGCATGCACTGTCTCCGAGTCTCCTCTTCTCCTTCATAATTGTTTGGGTCATCCTAGTTTAGCAAAGTTTTAGAAGATAGGTTCCATCTGCTTTATCGTCTTTAAATTGTGAGTCCTATTAACTTGGAAAACATACTCGTAGTATGTTTCCAAAGCGTGTCAATAAATGGGCTATGTCCCCTTTTGAGTTAGTTCATTCTGATGTCTAGGGTCCTTGTCGAGTCTCATCCATTTTAGGGTTTCAGTATTTTGTTATGTTTATTGACGATTATTCTCATTGCACTTTGTTATTTTTAATGAAAAGTCGTTCCGAATTATTTTCTATCTTTGAATCCTTTTGTGCTGAAATTAAGACACAATTTAATACTGTTATTCATGTGTTTCAGAGTGATAATGCTCGTGAATATTTTTCTGCTCCCTTTACCAAATTCATGTCATCTCAGGGAATTCTCCATCAATCCTCTTGTGTATATACTCCACAACAAAATGGAGTTATTGAGTGTAAGAATAGACATTTGATTGAAACTTCTCGAACCCTGCTTTTACACAATCAAGTTCCTTTTTGGTTCTGGGCAGACATTGTGTTAATTGCCTATTTCTTGATTAATATGATGCCTTCTTCTGTCCTACAAAACCAGGTCCCTCATTCTATTTTGTTCCCTGATCAACCGTTACACTCTCTTCCTCCACGTATCTTTGGTTGCACATGTTTTGTCCATATCCTTTCCTTAGGTACCAACAAACTGGCTGCCAAATCTATCAAGTGTATTTTCCTAGGATACTCAAGAATTCAAAAGGGTTATAAATGTTATTCTCCATCCACTCATCAATACTTTCTATCCGTTGACGTTACCTTTTTTGAGTCTTCTTCTTTCTTTTCTACATCAGACAGTGATTCTATCACCGCTGTCGTTCCTATACCCTACATTGAGTCTACTTATGATCATCCTGTGGAGTCTGTTACTATTCCTCCAAGTCCTACCCCTATAGGCGAGTCTCCTCCTCTAGGTGATGTTATTGTTCCGAGTACGACTACTGACACTGTTTTTGATGATGTTCCTAAGGCTCTTGTTCTTAATCCTCCTACGTCAGATTCCTCTCCTGTTGCAGCCCTACCTCTTGAAGACCAATTTCCCATTACAATTCGTAAAGGTATGCGGTCCACTAGCAACCCTCATCCGATCTATAATTTTCTTAGTTATCACTGTTTATCTCCATCATATTATGATTTTGTGTCAACCATTTCTTCTGTCTCTGTTCCTTCTAATGTTCGTGAGGCATTGACTGATCCCGGCTGGCGTCAAGCTATTGTTGAAGAGATGACTGCTTTACATCATAATAATACTTGGGAATTAGTTCCTTTGCCTCCCGGCCAATCGTCTGTTGGTTGTCGTTGGACTTATACTGTCAAGGTTGGCCCAGATGGTCAGGTTGATCAACTGAAGGCATGGTTGGTTGCAAAAGGGTATACTCAGACTTATGGGTTGGATTATTATGAGACATTTTCTCTTATGCCTAAGATGTCTTCTGTCCGCTTGTTTTTATCCATGACTGCTCTCCGCCACTGGCCTCTGTACCAATTAGACATTAAGAATACATTTCTTCATGGTGAGCTTCAAGAAGAAATTTATATGGAGCAACCGCCTGGCTTTGTTGCTCATGAGGAATCTGCCTTGGTATGTAAACTTTGTTGCTCTCTGTATGGTTTAAAACAGTCCCCCTGTGCCTGGTTTGGACGATTCAGTAATGTCATTCAAGAGTTTGAGATGATTCGGCGTGAGTCTGATCATTCTATTTTCTATAAACATAACTCATCAGGGCAATGCATATATTTGGTTGTCTATGTCTATGTCGATGATATTGTTATTATAGGAAGTGATCAGGATGGCATTAAACAGTTGAAGACACACTTATTCCACCACTTTCAGACCAAAGATTTAGGATTACTTATATACTTCCTTGGTATTGAAGTGGCTCAATCTAGCTCATGTATTGTTATTTCTCAAAGGAAATATGCACTAGATATTTTGGAAGAAACAAGGATGTTAGACTGTAGACCGATAGACTCTCCTATGGATCCTAATTCAAAGCTCTCACCTGGACAGGGGAAGCCTCTTGCAGATGCTTGGAAATACCAAAGACTGGTTGGTAAACTTAACTATCTCACCATTACACGACCTGATATTTCCTTCTCGGTCAGTGTTGTTAGTCAGTTTCTACAGTCTCCTTGTGACAGTCATTGGGATGCAATTATTCGGATTTTAAAATATATCAAAGGTACACCAGGCAAAGGTTTATTATATGAAAACAAGGGACATACACATATTGTCGGATATTCTGATGTTGACTGGGTAGGTTCTCCATCTGATAGACATTCCACTTCAAGTTTTTGTATTCTTGTGAGAGGAAACCTTGTGTCTTGGAAAAGTAAGAAGCAAGATGTCGTTGCCAAATCGAGTGCAAAGGCAGAATACCATGCAATGGCTCTAGCAACTTCTAAGCTCATTTGGTTGAAGCAACTAATCCAAGAATTGATGTTTACAGAAGTAGTGAAGATGAAGTTGCTTTGTGATAATCAAGCCGCTCTCCATATTGCCTCCAACCCGGTGTTTCACAAGAGGACTAAGCATATAGAAATTGACTGTTATTTTATCAAAAAGAAAATCTTATCTGGTTGTATTACCACTGGTCATGTCAGCTCAAATGATCAGCTAGCAGATATCCTCACTAAATCACTTAGGGGTCCTCGTATTGACTTTATTTGTAACAAGCTTGGTGCATATGATTTATATACCCCAGCTTGAGGGTGAGTGTTGAGTTGTACAAATCAGTTGAGTTGTACAAATCAAATGCTTTAGGAATAGGATCAAATGTTTCAGGAATAGGATCTTTAAAATAGGAAATTAGATCATTCTCTTTCCTAGTTTAGATTATTTCATTTCCTTATATGGACTGTTGAATGTGTATATATTGTTGTATTTTGTTCACAATCAATATTAAGAAAATTCTTCTGATTTCACATAGTCGAATGGTTTGATAGAGACTCTTGGGTGTATTGCTCAAAAGGTTCTGAGGTCGAGTCCTCTCTCTGTTGCTACTAAGGATAGCTACTATAGCTCTTATCTAGTTGGTAATGCTAGGATCCCGAGAGATTAGTTAAGGTACGCATAAACTAGATGGACAAATTATGTTTATTGTTAATGTATTCTATTACTTGATAAAAGGAAGGCATGGCATTGTGATGAAAACCAATTAGTAAGATAAGTTTAGATTAGGGAGAAGGAGACGTGCAGAGATAGGGTCTGGGAATTAAGAGAAAACAAAACCCTAATGGTTACTACATTACTTGTACTGTACATCAACGCAACGAATTATTCCTAGTTTAATCCCCCACCCCACCCCACCCCTTCTATTTTACTTGTTGCCTTTCCCTTTTTCTTTCTTCTAATTCAGCTACCCCATTTCCACAAACAAACAGCCTCTCTTTTAATGAACTGTAATTCAAAAAATAATTTAACACCGTGTTACTTTTTCACGCGAAACTTTACATACGTGTAAGGATTCATGAAACCCACCCAGCAAGCAACCTCATTTTTTTTTTTTTTTAAATTAATAAAAAAATCGAAAATACTTAATCTTAAATACCAATCAAATTGGCGCCTCCGTTAACAACTTCACTCAATTTCTACCCATCCTTTTTCAACATGGCTCTACCTGGAGACAGATCCGAAATCGCCTTCTTCGACGTCGAAACCACCGTCCCCACCCGACCTGGCCAGGGCTTCTCCATTCTCGAATTCGGAGCCATCCTCGTATGTCCCAAGAAACTCGACGAGCTCCATAGCTACTCCACTCTCGTCCGACCCGCCGACCCCTCGCTCATTTCTTCTCTCTCCGTCCGCTGTAACGGCATCACTCCCGACGCCGTCGTCTCCGCCCCTACCTTCGCAGAAATCGCCGATACCGTCTTCGACATCCTTCACGGTCCGTTTAAAGTTCTTGCCTTTGTTTTTTGAAGTTATTTAAAGTTGTGATTTTGATGTGAAATTGATTGTGTTTTCTTGTGTAGGGAGAATATGGGCGGGTCATAACATAGTGAGGTTTGATTGTGCGAGAATAAGAGAGGCGTTTGCGGAGGTCGGCCGGGCCCCTCCCGAGCCAAAGGGAACGATTGACTCCTTGGCATTGTTGACGCAGAGGTTTGGTAGGAGAGCTGGTGACATGAAGGTAATATTTACTGACCTCTCTTTCGTTTAAGTTCTTTATATTATTATAAATTCACCATTTATATCTGAATTAATGCGTGTTTTGGGACCATTTCATGTTTATCTGTGTGATTTAGTGTCCATTAAAGACTAAGCTTTTCTCCTTTTTTTTTTTTTAATAAAAAAAAAACATTTAATGTTTCCACTGTGTGTTTTTATATTATTCTATATTGTTCTGAATTAAGGTTCATGTTTTTGTTGTCATTGGACTATACTTTTCATGAGACACGTGTTTGGTATGAAGGAAAAGAGAGGCGAAGGGAAGGGGTTCATGCTTGGGGGATAGAAAGTGAGATGGAAGAAGGTTATAACTTTTAATTGTCTGGTTTCCCTCGGAGATGTTAAACATGTGTTGATTTCATCATTACGCCCTTATATATAAGAAGGGTTAAATTCTCACATGTTGTGTATAGGAGAAATGGTTTCTCCTCTTTCCTCTTGTTCACCTCTCTGTTCCCTCCTTTATTTGCTCTTGTGCAACTAAGTCTTAATGTACTTTTTTGTCTGTTGTCTTTTATCATATCACTATTTTATGCCTTCTGAATTCCAAAATCCTTCTTATTAAATTTTTTTCCAAAATCATATTAAATCCTTCTTAATGTAATCCACAGAATTGTGAACCCAGAAAGTGCCCTTGTTTTTGAGAAACTTCTGAATATTGCTATTATGTTTTAGCCCTTATTTGATATCTTGCAATCAGGTTCCTAATATCTCATATATTATGTCTAAACATGAATTGATGGAAAGCTATTTTGCACTCTGTTTACAGGGTTACTCAATGGTATTATATTTTAGGTTTTTAATTACTGTTGACTTTTGGATGTTGATATGTTAAAATCTGTGCAGATGGCCACTCTAGCCACTTACTTTGGGCTTGGGCAGCAGACACATAGGTATTTTTACTGCCTCCAAGGAGTTATCTTATTTTTTCTCCCCTTCTCCTTGAGATAATAACTTTTGCTATTTTCTCTCAGGAGCTTAGATGATGTTCGGATGAATCTTGAAGTTCTCAAGCATTGCGCAACAGTCTTGTTCTTGGTAATTATTTAGTTTCTAAAGCATTGAGACTTGCTTTTTCTTGGCTGATAAGCCATTGCCAGTTTATGGTATCCTCAAATTTGAATCAGTTATGCCTCGGCTCTACTTGCCATCCAATGAGTATGACATGCTCTATTGCTGGTTCATCTTGTTCAACTGTGTTTTCACAATGATCAGAGCAATATGGCATGCAGACAAATGGATAGATAGCTTTCAGACTTTGGTGCAAGATGAAAATCCTCCACGAACTTCAATGCATTAATCTTTAATGTCTTCAAATTTTACTTTAAGCCAAGCCTCATTCTGCAAAACAGGACAATGTCACCATGCACATCTATTTTCTTTTGTTCTGACCATAACTATTTTATGTCATATTAGCTTGCAAAATCTACTGGTATCCGAATTTCCTTTTTTTAGTATCAAAGTCGGTAAGATTATTAACTATGGCATGTTTTGATTCTCTTTTTTTATATGATAGCACAAGTGTTTTTTTTTTTTTTTTTTTCTTTTATTGTGTATCTAGTCTTATTTTAAATTTACCATATAATGACTTTGAACAAGTTGTCAATGGGGTGGCTGATGGACTTGCATGGTTCATAAGATTGCTTTTGTAACAATTAAGCTAACTTTGCCATATTTGCAGGAGTCAAGCCTCCCAGACATATTCACTGTCAACAGCTGGGTTTCCCCAAATGCTACTACAAGAAGTCGTAGTAATGGTAAACCATCACCAGTGGAGACAAGCCTAAACCTTAGTACTTCCTCTTCAAGACCTAAGTCTGAAGATGCTCCAAATTTGTCTTCCCCTGTTCAAGGAACAGGGGAAGACCATCCTATATTATCTTTGGTGACTCACAGAAGAGGGGAGGAGGTCTCTGATTCAGCTGTAGCTAATCCAGAGCGAACAGATTCTTTTGATATGGGCCAACTTAGCAATCAGATGGAAACTGAATCCCTTCAGCCAGATGTCCCCATGGAAGAAAAGACGGAATTGATGTCTCCCAAGACGAATTCAGCAGCTGCTGTCTCTGAGGGTTCAAGTGGCCATGATGCATTTATTGAGCCTGATAAAGTTTCAACTTCTAACATCAGTGCCTGTCTTGTCTCACTGTTTCATGGTAGTCAAGTTCAGAGAATTAAAATATTGCACAGAGATGTCATTTTGCAGCTTCATTGTGCTCGTTTGAGTATACGATTTGGAATAAATACAAAGTTTGTTGATCATGCTGGTCGGCCACGGTTGAATTTTGTGGTTGACTTGTCTCCACGTTTATGTGAGGTTCTTGAAGCATGCGATAGTGCTGCACATAAATTAAGCATGGATTCTGGTAGTGGCTCTGAGTGGAGAACTGTTGTGACCAGAAAAAAGGGCTTCTACAGCTATCCTACAGCAAGATTACAGTAAGTCTTTCCCCTCATTGGTTTCATTCATTTTTTTCATTGGGATGAGGAAATGAATGATTGCTTCAGCTTAGGAAATACAATGAAATATTGAATTGCTGTCGGCCAGAGTGGATTATATTTTTACACATGGAACAGCATGTTCTGGAATTTAGAATAACTGATATATTTCCCTCTCTGTTTTTTTCCTTAAGTAGTGTCTTAGGTGCAAAAATTACAAATGAAAAGGAAAACAAAACNGACATATTCACTGTCAACAGATCTTTGCTGACTCACAGAAGAGGGGAGGAGGTCTCTGATTCAGCTGTAGCTAATCAAGAGGGAACAGGTTCTTTTGTTATGGACCAACTTAGCAATCAGATGGAAATTGAATCCACTCAGCCAGATGTCACCACGGAAGAAAAGACGGAATTGATGTCTCCCGAGATGAATTCAGCAGCTGCCATCTCTGAGGGTTCAAGTGGTCATAATGCATTTATAGAGCCTGATAAAGTTTCAACTCCTAACGTCAGTGCCTGTTTCGGCCTAGGGTTTCATGGTAGTCAAAGTCAGAGAATTAAAATATTGCACAGAGATGTCATTTTGCATCTTTATTGTGCTCGTTTGAGAATACGATTTGGAATAAGTAGGAGGTTTGTTGGCCATGCTGGTCGGCCACGGTTGAGTTTTGTGGTTGATGTATCTCCAATTTTATGTGAGGTTCTTGATGCATGTGATAGTGCTGCACGGAAATTGAGCATGGATTCTGGTAGTAATTCTGAGTGGCAGCCTGTTGTGACCAGAAAATATAACCATCCCACCGCAAGATTACGGTAAGTCTTCCCTTCATAGGTTTCATTCATTTGTTTTTTTATGTGACAAGGAAATGAATGATTGCTTCAGCTTAGGAAATATTGCAAAATATTAAATTTCTGTCGCCAGGAATGTATATGGTTCCGTTTGGTTCATTATTGGGTAATTTTTAAAATAATCTTTTGAAAAAAGTTAAATTGGGTAAGTATTACGGTGTAGAATTTTGAAAATTAACATCAATACCCCTATGTTTATGTATTTACTAAACACCCCTATAATAAAATATTCAAAGTTAACGAAAACACTCCCAATGCATTCAAAAATACGAACAGTCGGCCACCACCGCCAGAGGGTGGCCGGAGTTTCCTTATCGGCGTATAACCAGCTTGATCTTGCTGGTCATGCGTCGATGTGGCCTTTTCCGGCCAGATCCACCGTGGATCTGGCCGTCAATGGCCAGATCTGGCCGCATTTGGTCATCAATGACGATCAAAGATCGGCCAGAAAGGGCTAGATCGGCGTACTACCGACCAGATTCAGTCGGTAGTGCCCATTACACTAGATTCCAGCAAGCTTTTGGCAGTGGTGATCGGAATCTGGTAAATTTGGTTATTGGGGTGTTTTTGTCAATTTTTAAAATATTTTTTGGGGGTTGTTTAGTTAAATTAACAAATTTAGGGGGATTAAAGGAAATTGAATAATTTAGAAAACACTTTTGAACGTGGGTGAAATAATGTTAAACTTTTTTGGGAAAACTATTCTAGTTTTTCCAATATGTGAACCAAACGGCGCCTATAATTTTTCCTCATGGAACTGCATGCTTCTGGAATTTAGAGTACCTGATATAGTTCCCTATATGTTAATTTTCCTTAAGTAGTGTCTTAGGTGCAAAAATTACAAATGAAAAGGAAAACAAAACGCAGGCTCAAGATCTTCAAGAAACTCATTTTTCCATGTGCATTGATTCATAATTTATTTTTTATTAATCATTAACGTTTAGTTTTCTTTAAGTAGTTATTCATTTCAATGATTTTCATGATTTATTTGGGTTAATGCAACAACTAAGTGGTTCAAAAGTTTGTAATATTTTTGAAGATGAATATGTGAATTGCAGTATCATAGCCATTGTACATAGCATGACTATGACATACAAAATATAGCTAATGAAACATTGATGCTTTGCTTCAGTGTTAAATTAGTCTTTCTTCTCCATGTACTGAGGATGCACCTAATTAGATATGTCTTCCCCATGTTTTTAACAGCATACCTACTACTGTAAGTGGCGATGTTACCCAATCTGACACTGAGATATGCCAGAAAGAACCATCTGGGACTGTACAAAAGTTTGCGTTCGTCAAATTTGATGCTGCAGAGCTCGATAGCTTGTTCAAACCAGGTACCTTTGTGGATACATTCCTCTCCTTTGATCAATATGATTATCAGCAGACTGCAGGCATCCGATTAGTGGCAAAGAAGTTGATTATCCTTTTCGAGTGATGGAAGAAAATAGGTCTCGAAGATTGATACGTATGTAAATCTCCCATTACTAATAATGTCATCTTATATTATTGACATTACCATTTTCGGTTGTCCAATAATAAAAGATTTTAATAATCCTTTATTACCAATAGTAATTACTGTAGGTTATATAAATGATAATCTAAATACCATATTTTTTTTAAATATTCTAAGATTACTTAATAATCTTAATTTTGTTACAATTTTATTTATAATTAATAAGAAATTTGGACACTAATACCCTTTTCTTCTAAAAACAATTTACAACAATATTTATTGACTATTTTAACCTTATACACAAGTTTTTTAAGACATTATTACCCTTGTATTTTCATTATATTACATCCTCAAATTAATACCATAGTCGATCGTCGACCACCACTGTTGACTGTTAGCCACCATTGTTGGTGGCAAAATGATGATAAAAAATGAGGGAAGGTAGATCAGGTGTTGGGGAGTCCAAATAAGTAGCTAAAGAGCCCAAACATCACTAAAAAGTGAGCAAAATTCGGCAAAGAAGTTGAACAGTCATCGATGGAATGCGAATAGTCACGGCCAATCTTCAACAAATCAACGTGGGAGAGCTTGGGTGAAGGAGGAGATGAAGCTATGGTGGTCGATCTACACTGGGGAAGGGCAAGCGACATTGAAAAATGGAGGAAACATCGTTGGAAGTTGAATCATCGTCAACATTAAGGGAGGCGAAGCGTCATGACATCGTAGGAGATGGAGAGGACAGCCAACGATGGGGGAAGGTGAAGGGTCGTCTAACGACAAACAAATGAGGTGCTAGTTGACAGTTGGTTGGGGGGTATATCTTCAAGTTAGTGGGTTGTTATGTTGTATATATGGATGGTTGGGCTCTCCATACTCACGTTGTTAATGATTTGTTACCTCTATGTTAATGATATGTTAGGTTTCCATCCAATTTTAAATTCAAGAGTCTATTTTACCCTTCTCATCTATAACAAATTGAAAATAATTTCTTAAATCTTTCACTCAAATGTCCAAAATTCTGAAAATTAACCCTGAACTTACAATGATACTTTTTAGGTTACACAATTACATAACAAATCTAAACATTTTAGCGGGACAGGGACGAGGTCGAGTTTTGCAGGTTTTCCACCTTTTCCCACCCCGTCCCCGGTTCCGTCGAGGAAGAAAGGCCCCCAAAAGGAACTTTTCGAGCATTCCCGTCAGAATAGTAACGGGCTTTTTTGGGTATCCAACCCTGTCAAAGTGGCGCCTCCATTAACCTCTTCGCTCATATTCAGCCATCCATTGCAGTCATGGGTATACAATCGCCTTCTTCGATGTCGAAAACACCGACCCAACCGACCCGGCGGCACTACACATTTGGAATTGGAGCCATCCTAATGTCCTAAAAAACTCAGGGTCTATAGCTATCCTGTCAGACCCGTCGACCCCTCGCTTATTCTCCTCTCCAGTCCGCTGCAACGGCATTACTCTCGACGCCGTCGTCTGCGCCCTTCCTTGGCCGATATCGCTGATACTGTCTTTGATATCCTTCACGGTCTGTTCAAATTTTCTATCTTTTAGGTATTTAAAGTTGTGATTTGGTGTGAATTTGATTGTGTTGCATGCGTAGGGAGAATATGGGGGTCATACTAGTGAGATTTATGTTCGAGAATAGAGAGGCATTTGCGGAGGTGGGTCGGGCGCTCCCCGAGCCAAAGGGGACGATTGACTACTTGCATTGTTGACGCAGGGTTGGGAGGAGAACTAGTGACATGAAGGTGATATTTACGACCTCTCTTTTGCTTAGGTTTTCTGTAATTATAAATTCACCATTTATGTGAATATCGTTTTTGGGACCCTTTCATGTTATCTGTACGTATCTATAAAGATCAAGCTTTTCTTTTTCTTAATTGCTTTTGTTTTTTAACTTTTGATGTTTTCTTTGTGTGCTTATGAAACTTATCCAGCAAGCAAAACCTCATTTTTTTAAGTTAACAAAAAATCGAAAGTAGTCAATCTTAAATACGAATCAAATTGTGCCGTTAACCTCATCGCACAATTGCGCCATCCATTGCAGCCATGGGTACCTGCAGACAGATCCGAAATGCCTCTTTGACCTCAAAACCACCTTCTCAACCCCGACCAGCCCCACACATTCTTGAATTTGGAGCCATCCTCGTATGTCCTAAAAAACTCAAGGAGCTCGATCACTACTCCACTCTATCCGACCCACGACCCTCGCTCATTCCTCATTCTCGCCACAAGACGGCATCACGCCGATGCCAGACTCTGCCCCTACCTTTGCAGAAATCGCCGATCCAGTTTTTGACATCCTCCACGGTCCATTTAAGTTCTTGCCTTTTTTGTTGAATTATTTAAAGTTGTGATTTTGATGTGAAATTGATGTGTTTTGTGTGTGAGGGGAAAGGGCAGGTATAACATAGTGAAGTTTGATTGTGAGATAATAAGAGAGGCATTTGTGGAGGTTGGTCGGGCCCATCCTGAGCCAAGGAGACGATTGACACCTGGGCATGTGTGACGCAGAGGTTTGAAGCAGAGCTGGTGACATGAATGAGGAATATTTACTGGCCTCCCTTTCGTGTTATTCAAATTATAAATTCACCATATATCTGAATTAATGCGTGTTTTGGGACCATTTCATGGTATTTGTGATTTAATTTCATTAAGACCAAGCTTTCTCTCTCTTTTTTTTTTTTTTTCGTTCCATTGTTTTTATATTATTCTATATCTTCTGAATAGGTTCTTTTTTGTTGTCATTGGACTATTTTCATTAGACACGTTGTGTATTGAAGGAAAAGAGAGGCGAAGTGAAGGGGGTCGTGCTTGGGGGATACAAAGTGAGATGGAAGAAGGTTATAACTTTTATTGTTTGGTTTCCCTTGGAGATGTTTAAAAATGTGTACCCTTATATATAAGAAGGGTTAAATTCTCACAATGTTGTGTATAGGTGAAATGGTTTCTCCTCTTTGCTCTTTTGACTTCTCAGTTCCCCTTTATTTGCTCATTTGCAACTAAGTCTTAATGTACTTTCTTGTCTGTTGTCTTTTATCATATCACTATTTTTAGTATTTATGCCTTCTGAATTCCAATCCTTCTTATTAAATTTTTTTTTCTCTAAATCATATTAAATTTCTTCTAAGTAATCCACGAATTGTGAACCCAGAAAGTGCCCTTGTTTTTGGAGAAACTTCTGGATATTGCTATTGATTTAGCCCTATTGATATCTTGCAATCAGGTTCCTAATATTCATATATTATGTCTAAGCATGAATTTATGGAAAGCTAACTTGCACTCGTTTACAGGGTTACTCAATGGTATTATATTTTAGGTTTTTTATACTGTTGAGTTTTGGATGTTGATATGTTAATATCCTGCAGATGGCCACTCTAGCCGAGTACTTTGGCTTGGGCAGCAGACACTAGGTATTTTTACTGCCTACAGGAGTATCTTATTAGTTCTCCCCTTCTCCTTGAGATAATAACTTTTGCTATTTTCTCTCAGGAGCTTAGATGATGTTCGGATGAATCTTGAAGTTCTCAAGCATTGCGCAACAGTCTTGTTCTTGGTAATTATTTAGTTTCTAAAGCAGTAGACTTGCTTTTTCTTGGCTGATAAGCCATTGCCAGTTATGGTATCTTCAATTTTAATCGTATGATCAGCTCTATTTGCCATCCGATGAGTATGACATGCTTTATTGCTAGTTCATCTTGTTCAACTGTGTCACGATGATCAGAGCAATATTGCATACAGACAATGGATAGATAGCTTTCAGAACTTTGGTGAAAGATGAAAATCCTCCACGAACTTCAATGCTAACTTTAATGTTCTCAAATTTTACTTTAAGCTAAGCCTCATGCTGCAAAAAAGGACAATGTCACCATGCACGTCTTCTTTTGTTCTGACCATAACTATTTTATGTCATATTAGCTTGCAAATCTACCGTTTACTGATTCCTTAGTATCAAAGTCAGTAGATTATAAATATAGCATTTGTTGAAGTGTTGTGTCAATTCTATTTTTTATATGATCACACAAATGCTTTTTTTTTTCCTTTTATTGTGTATCTAGGCTTATTTTTTTTTACCATATAATGACTTTGAACAAGCTATCAATTGACCTAACTTTGCCATATTTGCAGGAGTCAAGCCTCCCAGACATATTCACTGTCAACAGATCTTTGCTGACTCACAGAAGAGGGGAGGAGGTCTCTGATTCAGCTGTAGCTAATCAGAGGGAACAGGTTCTTTGTTAGGACCAACTTAGCAATCAGAGGAAATGAATCCACTCAGCCAGATGTCACCACGGAAAGAAAGCGGAATTGATGTCCCCGAGATGAATTCAGCAGCTGCCGTCTCTGAGGGTTCAAGTGGTCATAATGCATTTATAGAGCTGATAAGTTTCAACTCTAACATCAGTGCCTGTTTCGGCCTAGGGTTTCATGGTAGTCAAGTCAGAGAATTAAAATATTGCACAGAGATGTCATTTGCATCTTATTGTTCGTTTGAGAATACGATTTGGATATAGTGGGTTTGGGCATGTGGTCGGCAGGTGAGTTTTGTGGTTGATGTATCTCCAATTTTATGTGAGGTTCTTGATGCATGATAGTGCGCACGGAAATTGAGCATGGATTCTGGTAGAATTCTTGAGTGGCAGCCTGTTGTGACCAAAAAATATAACCATCCCACCGCAAGATTACGGTAAGTCTTCCCTTCATAGGTTTCTTCATTTTTTTGTAGTGACAAGGAAATGAATGATTGCTTCAGCTTAGGAAATACTGCAAAATATTAAATTTCTGTCGCAGGAATGTTATCTGGTTTGTACGTAAAAATATTTTACAACAGAAGGGTTATAATGCTATTAACATTATGCATTATAGTCGAATGAGACATTGTGAATAGGTTTGACAATGTCAACTTTAATGTTGAATGCCGAGTGTATTGGCCAACAACATAAATAGTGAGGTAAAGACATCGACAATCCAATCACACAATTTTCTCTCATAATCTCAATAAAACAGTTTGTAATTAATTAGTTTGTAAATAGGTCTTATTTGCTTATTATGAGTCTTGTC